AAAATATGTCAAACTACAGTACATACAATTTTATTCCACTTTAATATAGCACAAAAAAAGTCAAAATTATTTTTTTTTTCTGTTAGAAGTCAAGATAGTGATTATCCTTTAGGATAAGTGTAGTGATTATATGCTAACAAAAAGGGGGAATCCCAGGATACTAATTTTTAGTGTGTTTGGTTTGTAAAATTTCGTCAAACTCTCCCTATGTATGTACACTTTTCTGTATGTATAATACAAAAGTTAAAATATTTTTAAATGATAACATCCTAAAATTATTTCTTATCAAGTTTGTTTTACAACAAAACATTCACCACTGTGAAATCGAAAAGTGGGGAAAATATAAGCTTCCATAATACCTTATCATGTAAAGATTCTTCCAGATTCTTTCTGAAAGTTTCTGATTCTTGAATTAAAACATTCTATGGAAAAGAACAAACCAGAGAAATAATTAATAAATTAAACAGAAAATAATTATATGCATACATTAAGTTTTATCACTCAGGAATCTTCTTTGTTTCCTGCCTTGGTGCATCTATATTTTGGTTTCCATGGAAACCAAGTTTCAATGCAATCTTTAAATAAGACACCTTAACATTTTGAGAAACACATAACTTAAATGGGAAATGTTATTTTGTAAACACTTGGATTGACAAATAAGATAAATACTAACTTTTAAGCTATTTCTGTCTGCCTCTTCCCAGTCTTTTTAAATTTGAAATAATTAGGTTACTTTTCAAATGAGAAAAAGTGAGCAAAAAGCAAAATGTTATTCAAAGCTGTCACAGAGAAAGAATTCAGATGAATTCATTTTTATTATCTGAAGAAAGAAGAAATTATAAGATTATATTTTTAAAAAGTTCAATTTCTGGACTTTTATTTCAAATACAAAATTAGTGATTTCTAATAATGGTTAAATTATTAGAGAAATAAAAATAAAATTTTAGCTATTTAAAAAACTAATGTTACATGTCATGATGTGGAAATAACTTGCATCATAAGTATTTTTTAAAATCCTTGCCATGGAAGTATCCCTGTGGAAAAAGTTTCATACTTTTCTTAGAGTACAACAAAGCATGATTTAAAATATTGAATGCTTTTCAAATTTTTAGGGTAAAATTAAACTTCAGAGTGTAGTAGTAATTGGCATGTATTTGGAGTTGAATGGGGAAGAAGGCATGCCATGTGACATCTTAGTGGGTAAATTAATCAAACTACTTTGACATTTCAATGAAACATTTTTTTCTATTTTGATTTTTCCTGTGGAGCAGGGGGCAATGTCTAGCTTAAGCAGTGATTGGCATTCAGTCTAAATTTCCAAAATGATTTGTTCACCGGGGTTTTAGTCCCTAATTTTCTACTATACTTTGAAATTGGCAAGCAGCTCACATAACTCTTGCTAGTCTGGTAGTCACCAGCTATCAGTGAGACATACGTAATTGTGAATGAAACTGCAGACTACCCAGAAGTACTGTTTAGGAAACAGTTTAGCTGAAAGTACTACATTCTTAAACTCTGTGGTGGGATTGACACTAGTTCTATTGGTGATATAAACTCCCTCGCATTTTGGCTTTTAGACTAGTAGCAGATTCAGTTACTTGAAACATTTGAATGGCTCAAAGCAAGCCTCCCCACACTCTCCAAAACACTAATTTTTATCTTGCTCTTCTTTTTCTGCATAACAGGTGAGAGATATAAACAAAATATTTTTATCATAAAAGTATGCCACATTTTAACACACTTATCTTGTTATCATGCTAATGTGCAAGATTTATATACTATGTAACATTTTTATTCACTTAAAAATTGATCTTACATGTTGTTACAGAAACTATTTGTTCATTTTTTCACTTTTAAGACTAAATCAGGTTTTTTTTAAACTAAAGAAAGTAAATGGATCATCTGACCAATACGTTGATTGCAGCTGAGCATAAAACAAACATATCACTAAGGACATGGCTAATGATCACGTGATGCTGCTTTCCCATCATTTTACCTTCTCTTCCAGAGCAGCCATTCGTTCCTTTAGATGTAGCTGTAAGCGTTCATTGGATTCGGTCAGAAGTCTGTCCACAGTATCGGATAGTCTTTTGTTGTGCTCCTCATTCATTTTCTCTCTTTGCCTAGCCTTACGTTCAAAACATAAATAAATAAATAGAACATAAAAATCATTTTTAAAAGTATTTGGCTTTGTTTTTATGTTTTTCCTAGTTTAAAGTTGGATTTAATTTTGTCTGTTTTGATTAAATTGGCAAAAACTTCTTTTTTAAATGCACAGGGAGTATCCATAACATTTTCAATATAATGCATAATCAAGAAAGATGTTAAAGAAAAAAAGGACATTATGAACTCATCTACAAAACAGAAACAGATTCGCAGACATAGTAAACAATCTTATTGTCACTGGGGGAAAAGGGTCGGAAGGGATAAATTTGGGGGTTTGAGATTTACAAATGTTAGCCACTGTATATTAAAAATTGATTAAAAAAGAAAGATATTCATTTCTTATGTGTAGAATATAAATGCATAAATTGATGCTTGAGATGGATGGTTCTTAATATACATACTCTTTGAAGTTCTTGATTTTTCTCTTCAAGTTGACCTTCAAGATGTCTCATACGTTCTTCAATGTTTCCATGTCTCTCTTCAGCCTGTTAAGAAATATGAAGAATGCACCTGACATGTAAGATATGGTTAACACTTTTCCTCTAAATAAACTGAAATAAAATGTAAAGCAAGCTACTACCAACCGCAAATGTAGTTTTCAAAAATAAACTTTCTTTAAACAGGCAGCTGAACAGCATTGCTTGAAATGTGTCAGCTACAAAGGCCTGTTACATCCAAGCATCAGCAAAACACTGGAGTTATTTATGAGCAATGAAATCAGCCAAATGTAACATGCAGACTGTGCATGGTTTGAACACAAACCTGCCATTGTCCAATCTTAAGCTTCTGAAGCACTGAACTGCACAGATGGTCGATTATCAATAAATAAAAGTAACATAATTTGTATAAATGAAAAGAAAAAACTTAGATGAATTCTATTTAGCAATAGAAAGTAAAGTCCAGTAGGACTACCTTCCTACGTATGGAGATCATTTCTTGTAGTTTAGCTTCCATAACATATTGATAATCATCAGATGAGGTAGAAGAAGTTGGATCAGACTAACAAGTCAAGGAAAAGGAGAGGGACAAAATTGAAAAATCAGAACTAAAGACACTGACACTGAACAGAACATAGCACAGAATGCTTAAAAGAAAAGTGTGACAGCAAATTTAATACTTTAATAGACAGAATTTTATGTAGAAAGAACTACACTGATACCTGGTGAACATGATGCAGTTGATGGTAATAAGTGGAAAAACAATGGTATGCTCAAATAAAAAGCTACCAACCTAAGGTATGGAAGGTTAGTAATGGCTGGCGATGAAAGACTACTACAAATGAATTAAAGCAACTCTGAAAGAGTCATGTAATAACTGGAATTATGGGAAACCAAACACTAGAATATGTCTCTGACAGATTGTTTAAAGCTTTGTATTTTGGTTCACTTGTTTTTTACCGTATTACTTACAAATCATGGGGAAAATGTACCTCAATGTTGAGGAGTAGACTAAAGCAAGGACTCAGGTGAAATAAATTTGGAACAAAATTCATTACAAACCCAACTCTGTAGAAATCAGAGAAAGAGCTAAGTGACGGGGTTATTACGAGTATTCTCCAATTCCAGCAGGATTGAGTTTCCTCAGCAACAGGGGCAAACTTACAAAATGACTTCTGGTCTCGGAATACACTTTATGGCTGTAGGTCTAGAACCTCAGCGCCTATTCTCGGATACAATCTTAATTCAAAATTTTAAATGAAAATGATTAAAAGCCCTCAAACTATCAAGGTGGCAATAATGCTATGAGAACAAGAATCTATTTGTGAACCCTCCTGAGTGACACTAGGGAGCACTCCAAAACTGTTGTGCACTGATTGTTGCTATGGAGACAAAATAGTGCCCTAAAATAAACAGGCAGCACAGTGCCTTTGTGAGTGACTGCCCAGTGCCAAGGTTAGTTACATGTCTGGGAGGTGACGGTCAGTTACCACAGATGCAGAGTGTTCAACACATGTGACATTGCTGATAGCTGAATTGTATTAGTACGTTATGCACACATTACATGTAAAGTTACATCAACATTTTAATCATAATTACAAGTTAAATAATTACAACAGTGAAAATAACCTTTATCTAGATGACAAAGTTTAACTCCAGAGCATATTCTATCATATTTTATAAGTTTATTCTAAAACAGTGAAACTTACTTTATGCAAATATAGGACTATATATAAATATGTGATGCAGTACCTGAAAAGAAACAGTAACCTATTCATGTGTTGGTTCATATGCATATGTACTATTCTATGCAACAAATTCCAATTTAGTCAATAAAATATTTAATATTTAATTGGTGTGTTTATGCAAATTATAACCCAACATTTACATTTTGTAAGATTTTTCTTCTGGTATTCTTATTTCATAAACTGGGAAGATAATGCAGAAATAGCAGAAATCATTTCTGCTATTTCTTTCCCTAATAACCAATTTCTTTCCCTAAATGTGTAGAAGCAACATAGAACGCTACCAACATCCCCAAATGCCACAAAATAATTTTATATTACTTAAAACCTAAAATTCAACTAAGGATACAGTTAAATGGGTCAAAATATTGCTGAAATTATGCATTTTAAATTGATAAAGGTATCTATAATCTCTCAAAAGTTCATTTTAACAAGCCGTGAGTGTTATGAAAATTAATCAGGTAACTGATTCAAGGTAGCTAAGGCATGAACATCTCAATTTCCAAAGCCTGTTACTTCAAGTATACAAGTAAAGTCAGCAGATCCTTCAAAGATCCTTAAAATTATTCCAGCTGAGCTACTGAAAACACACCAGACATTGTGAAAGTTCACTTCAGAGACTAAATAAGAATTCCGTCATGTTTAAGTCACTATGTTATTGTTGATAATTTCTATTGGTACTAAAAATAAATGAAATACCTTATGGAATTCAAGATGAATTAGGTCCTTGCAGAGGGAATATGCATTTTAACTAAGAGGCAAACATCATAAATCATAAGATTGGGAGCCCAAAATCTTTATTAGTTGTGTATACACTCAACAAAGCCAAATTTTTAGTTTTATCCCTAGCCATTATTCAATACTTCTAACTTTCTAAAAGCCTCAAATGGGCTATTTTACTCACCTATCTACACACAAGCACGTGTGCACACACACACACACACACACACACACAAACATACTAGAAGAAGAAAAAGACAATCTTCGCAATCAAAGAATAAATTCAGACATCATCTCTAAACAAACTTGGGATAAATCTGCAACTACTATTGATTGATATCCATCCTAACCTTATGAAGACTGCGATTGAAGCAAGTGGTATAAATACAAGAGTCACCCAAGACCACTTGGTATTCCTTGATGGGGTACAGGGCTTATCCCGGTTTCACCCTTTAATGTTACAAGGCGATTTTCAAACAAGCCAAAGATTTAGAAGAAATTACAGGCAGAAATGATTTTGAGAAAAGTGTGAATATGTTTGGAAATGGAGAATAAATTAAAATTAAAGAGAGGAAGTCCAACGAGAAGAAAAAAAATAGGTAGCAGATAATAAAAGTAGAAAATAATACATATAGGCTAAATAAAATACATGAGGGATTGTTAACAATACCATTCGAAATACAGGAGAAGGGAGCCTAGGTTTAAATTAAGCGTAAATCATAAATTAGTAGTCAAAAATATTAAGAAACAGAAAGACTATGAAGATCAATAATAGTGAGATATTAAAAACAAATTGAATTTGAAGCAGTAAATAATAAAGCAGGTTCTGGAATTAGGCCCTAAAGATCTTGAGAACAGGAGATAGAAAATGGTCAAAATCATCTTAACATTAAAACTTGGAAGAACAAATGAAAGACTAATCTTCACATGTTATAAAATGTTACAAGCAGGAGTACATTGAGAATAAAATCTCGGCACCAGAAGAGTGTGTACTGTGAATTAAATGACAATAACATAGAAGCTGTATTATCTGAAGTAGAGTTGTTGACACAGAGCCAGTCAGAAGAGAAAGCAGTAAAAAGGACAAGCAGAGTGAATTCTAGCAGTTTTGACACTTTTTAAGAAGGATAAAACTGCCAACAAATGAGGAAAGCAAAAAGTCTATGAGAAGTGTAATTTTAGGAAAATATTATTAGGTAGTAGTAAACTGAAGAAATTATTTTGGATGCATAAGTGAATATATATATCAAAATAAGATCTCAAGAGCATAAAATGGAGAGCAAAACAGATGAGAACCTATTTCAAGCTTTTTTTGTTATATTCTAAATTAAGGATACTTAGGAATATTTCATTTAAAGCCTCATACATCATGTATTATATTTTAAAATATGTTTTATACTCAATCCATCAGAGGTTAATTTGGGGCAATTTTTTGCTGAATTTTAATTTCTGTTTTGGGAGTAGAGATCCCAGACTTTCTTGTATTTCACTCATGACAATATTGATGGCCATTTTACACTTAAATATTACAAAAATTAATTTTATTATCTAGCCACTTGCCTAAGTCCCCCTAAAATAATTCAATAACTCTTTATAGAAAAGTATTTTATGTTCCTCAGATATAAAGCCTAAGTGTACCCATCTTAATCCATATTACAGTAATTTAAAATGTATTTGCAAGAAAATAGAATACTACTAATACATTCGCACTTTTATATAATTTCTAGAATATTTCTCAAATTAAATGATAATTTTATCTTTATCTTCAAAATCACACATTTTTGAAATTGCCAGAGCAGTTTATGCCACGATCTGTGACTATAGAAGGATCCAGATTGTAATGTCACCCTAATCAGACTGTTTTATTCAGCTAGTTAGTCCAATAATCTATAGACAATCAACTGTTTCAAAGCTTCCTACTTTGTCAACTGTTTTTCTTTTCACTACCTGATTAACTACCTTATTTTAACCAACAGGCATCAGTCTACTGTTCCTCTTTAATTATTTACTTTTTCTGAGAAGCAACTATGTATACCTACTTTTATTTAGCTGCATCCATTGTTTTGGATACTCTTTAATGACAGAATTTATAACTTGAAGTTCACATATCTATCTGACCCATTTACTGCAGTGGTGTGGAAAATAGCACACAGTAATGACTGTGTGAACATCTAGTTAAGAGTGCACACTTTTTAATTGATATTAAATGTCAAACATGTTTTAGTGACAGAATCTGGACTTTAATTCTAGTGACATGCATATACACTTTGAAGTAATGACATTTCCATTTGACCGTGAAAATTAAGAACATTTTTTACATTACAATAGTTGCAAAATTCTAAAATATGCAGATAACTGCAGAATCTAAAGGCCATAACAGCAGATAATTTTGAACATTCTTCAGATTATTATTGATTTTAACCGGTTCAGAAGAAACTGCAACTATTAAAGCCACTTTCTGACTATTTATTGGCTTTGCACTTTAGACTTCTACAGGTCTAACTTCCAATTTCTAACAAATTTTTTCATGTTACAGTTAAAAAGGAATCAACTGCTTATGATATAGCCTACATTTCTAATACACTACAATGTAAGTTAAGCCTACTAAATTATTATGTCTTAAGTATATCTATATTGAATATAATCATGTGTTTATATTTGGTGATTATTCTTACGTGCAAATATTACCATGGAAAATTAACTATAGAGACATGAAATATGGTTTATTTTTATTAATGTTTAGATAGGCAAAGAGATCATCACATTTATCTATCATTCATCATATGTGTGATATAAAAAATTCATGTAAATAACAGACCAATATAATAAGATTTAATAAAATTAATTTTCATAAAGTCTAAAGAAAATGTAGATTCCATTTTGATTACTAGTTATTTCTATAAGTATATCTAGGCTGACCAATTGTTTTAATGCAGTACCTTTGTCAGGGCTGCAATTCTCTGAGCCAGTTCAGCCTCTACTTCAGGTAAGGTCTCAGCTTTTCTCATAGTCTGCTGCAACTTTTGTTCAGCCAGCTCAAGACGCTCTTGTAACTGTCTGTTCTTCTCTTCCATCTGAAATAGGGATGGAAAAAGAGCCACTTAAATTGTCACCAGGCACTAGGGGCTGTGGGCATTAGCTACTATCCTAGACTTAAAATCAGCTACTACTATCATGCCTACTGTGCAGAGATGATTGTTCTCGTGTTTTCATATATTTTTACTTATACATAACCCTTAATAAAATTCAGCACATTAAAAGAAACATTTCACCTATGGCAGAAAAAAGAAGTTAATAGTGAGTGTTAACTTGGATACATGGAATAAGACTTCAGATGCAACATGATACCAATATACTGAAAATCATAGCACTAATTAGAGTAGGGGAAGGAATATAGCATAATGATTGAGAGTCTAGGCTCCAATGATTAAGTTGGCAAGTGTTTTTTGTGAAAGGCCAGAGAGTAAATATTTTAGATTTTGTATATCATAGTCTTTACTCCAACTAATCAGTTCTACTGTTGTAACACAAAAGCAGTCACAGACAATGATTAAATGAATGGGTATGACTATGTTAAAATAAAACTTTATTCATAAAGCAGAGCCATAGTTTTGGCACATGGGCCATAGTTTGCCTACTCCCGCTCTAGATCTGAATAGACTCGGGCTTCCATTATTGACTCTGGCAAGTACTATATGTGTGACCTTGGTAAAGTATTCATGTCTCTGAACTTTAGTTTCCTCAGTACAATAACTTTACTTCATGGGTGGTGATTGGGTTTAAGTGAGGTAATACATTTAAACTGTCTAGCACACTTTCTGGTTAATAATAAGAAATAATAATAATAATAAAAATAATGACTAGTACTTACTTTGGATCTAGACATTTTTTTCATGTCTAGAGCCAAAGCAAATACTAGTCATTATTTTCATTATTATTAAGCCAGATTTCTAGATTACATATTGAAAATCACATCTATTCAGTTACCTCAATTCTAAATTTTAGACAATGATTGATTGCCAAGAAATACCATATTTTATTTATTTCAAGTTTTATGAGAATTGTGAGAATACACACATGAACCAGAACAAAACCAAGACAGAGATACTGAACCTGCCGTAGAATGGCCTCTTTATTTGCTAACTCATTTTCCAGCTTATCATTCATGTCATGTATGGAGGTAGATTCTCTCTGAGCACTGAGGTAACGCTTCTCAAGGGTCGTGATTCTTTCTTCCATATCTTCCTTCTGTGCCATGGCCTACAATTAAAATTATTTAAAAAAATCAAATCAGATTCTCAATTTATATACTGTCTTGTTATTTAAATAAAATAGTAAGATGTTAAAAAAACTATTGCTTTCTTGAGGTAAATATTCATTCCTTTCTTTTCATGGAAGGGATGCAAGATTTCATTTTTCTCAACTTATCTGTCAGAATTCTTCTTACGTCTTGGGTTAGCTGAAAGCTTTCTATCTCTGAGATGCAATGGAGTACATTTTGAAACTGCCCACTGTAGAATTGGTATTCTTAGAAAAGAAGTGGCAGATAAATTAGCTCATTACACATTAGAGGTGAATACAATTATGCGCAGAGTTGCAAACCATAAAATTGGTGACTGTATTTCCAAACTGCAAAGGAATCTTCAAATAAGGATAACAAATATCATCAGTATCCTTATCTTTACACATAAGTAAGAGTAACTGAATGATTAAAAGAGAAGGCAAAGACAAAAAAAGAAGTAAATTTGAATCATAGTTGCAAATAAATTGATCGACTTACATTTCTCTTGTTACATATATCATATATTCCAATTAAAAAAGAATTGAGAAAACTCAATGAACACATATCTCTAGGGGAAAATTAACTATCAGTGCAAATGCCCCAATGTTCATAGCAGCACTATTTACAATAGTCAAGACATGGAAGCAATCCATATGTCCATTGACAGATGACTGGATAACGAAGATGTGGTGTATATATACACAACAGAATAGTACTCAGCCGCAAAAAAGAATGAAATACTTCCATTTGTAGCAACATGGATGGACCTAGAGACTATCATACTAAATTAGACTGAGAAAGACAAATGTCATATGATATTACTTATATGTGGAATCTAAAAGATGATACAAATAAACTTATTTACTCATTTATTATTATTATTATTAAACAGAAATAGACTCACAATCAAAGAAAACAGTTACTGAAGTGGAAAAAGGTGGAGGGATAAATTAGGAGTTTGGGATTAGCAGATACAAATTACTATATACAAAACAGATAAACAACAAGGTCCTACTGTATAGCACAGGGAACTATATCAATATCTTTCAATAACTGATAATAAAAAAGAATCTGAAAAAGAATATATATATATAACACACACACACACACACATATTATATACATAAAACTGAATCACTTTGCTGTATAGCAGGAATTAACACAACACTATAAATCAACTATACTTCAATTTAAAAAATACTATCAGTGCAAATGGAGTAAAATTATGGCATTAATAAGACTGTAAGCAATAATTTAAACCATACAATTCATAGATAGCATGGAGATGATTTTATCTTCCTAATAGCTTACATGGGAATTTATAAGTAGGTAATCTATATTTTTGAGATGTTGAGAAGTCACCTACAGAAGTGATAATGTGTGACGCTTCTTTGCATAAGGATCCTGCAATTGAGGAGATAGTGGTGGCTTCCATATATTACTACCCAGATTTATTTGATCACTTATTCCTAATCAGTCTCTTTGTTACTCTCCTCCAGAATCCAGAGTCAATCCTGCCACACCCACAGAGCAGATAAATTCACTTCCAGTTTTCCAGAAATATTAGAATGGACAGGACTTCAGCTTCCTGATCTTCTCTCACCAACATCTACAAATTTAATCACATGCACACAAATCCTTAACCTCTATCTTTCAGTTCAGAACAGGTGTTCTACCTTCCCTCAAGTTTAGTCATTATCTGTATTCTGGCCTTTATGCTGCTTCCACTTTAGGGATCTTGGTCGCTTTTTTCTCCTGGATTTTCACGGTGGTAGGAGAGGTAAATCCCATTACTCTAGCTGAAAAGAATGAAACAGGCTTATGAAAAATTTGGTACAGATCTAAAGAAGAGGGCAGAAGAAAAAGGGATAGTTCAAAGGAAATAAAAGTAAGAATGATAAATTATCTGCTTGACCAATGTCCATAACTGAACTGAAATTATGAAATTTTACCAAACTGTTGGAGAGAGTGGGAAGGTTTACTTAGTTTTAAGCATAAGTAAGCAAATTAATTTATCAGGTAATTAATGAAATCCTGGAAAAACATAAAGCTGTACAAAAGAAAATATTATCATTGAAAACTACTCCTTGGATCATCTGTGAAAACTATTTACTTAGTCATAATAACTGTAACGCTGAATGTGATTTTGAGATAATTATAGTGGAAGGTTGGGAGGAAGAGAAAGAAAGGGAGAGAATAAGAGAGCTAAAATCCTCATATAATAGAATAGCAAGACATAAATTAAGTTTAAATAAGAGAGAAAATACCAGAAATAATGGCTAAGAGTGTTGAAATTAAGAATCTGAGGAAGGTGAAATGGCAGGTGGGTGGAGGCTTTGTGTACATGTATGTGTTTTGTGGGTGTGTGTGTTTAGCTTTGTATACTCTTGATATTATTTGACTTGGAAAAACTATGTACATTTATAAAATTAAAACTAATTAAAAAGTCATACTCTACAACGAAACTCATCATGCTGTCCTCAGTCTCTCTGGGTACCCACCCCTGCCTTGTATTACTTGACTAAGGAATGACACTACTCTGTACAGAAATTTAGCATCATCCAAGAAAACTCCTTCACTTTAACTCCTAACTTAATAGCCTAATCTGTTGTCTTGCTATGAGTCTGTTTTCCTCCTTACTTATTCCTAACCTGTTGGCCAATCTGCTTCTAGGCTTAAATACCTTTGTTCCCCTCCATCCTCAGTGTAAAATCTGAGCTACAAGGCCTTGAAAACAAGTAGCTTCATGGCCTGACACTTACCTGTCTTTATGTATTGGGTTGAATAGTGTCCCTGGCAAAATTTATGTTCACCTAGGACTTAGGAATGTAATCTTATTTGCAAATAAGGTTTTATAGATGTAATCAAGTTAAGATGGGTTCATACAGGATAGGGTGGGCCTTAAATCCTGTGACTGGTGTTCTTACAAGGAAGAGGAATATTTAGGGACAGAGATATATAGAGAAAACTGCAACACAAAGAGGGAGGTAGAGATTGTCATACTGCCACTACCCAAGAACACCAAGCATTGCCAGCAGTATGTTAATACTGATGATCAAATGTATGAAATTCAATTAATCCATCAATTTGGCAAAAATTATCCAAACTAAATCTTTTTTATCAAAATTATATACATACTCCTAGCTTTCAGCCATCCAAACAAAAGCTACTATTTAAAAATCTTTTATTTTAAATTTTGAATTTTTCTATTTCCTCTATTTTTTATCCCAATGCAGTTACAGTTTTCAATCTTAGAGGATTCCTTCAGAGTTATTACAATTGTTAATATTGTATTGTTAATTTCATTTTCATACAGAACTCTGGGAATGTTATGTCAGCTTTGGTAGCCCAAGGGAAAATTCTAAATCTAGCCTACAACAGATAAACTTGTTACAAAATTATAAAATCAGTAAATTTGTTAAAGGTATACACATATTTCTTCAGATCATGAGCATGAAGAAGTGCATACTTGCTTTAAATCCGAGTTGTTGATACTTATTAACTCTGTTACGAGCAAATGTTGCTTAACTTTTCTACATTTCACCTTCTTTCTTCTTTCTTTTTTTTTTAGTTTCTGGTTGGGATGTGAACATCTACTACATAACATTGTTATGATATACTATTTGAAGTGCTTTGCATGGTGTTTCGTGTACAATACACACTCAGGAAATAATATCTTCTGGTCTATCATAATTATTACCATACCTATAATTAGCTGACCTGACTCTATGGCATACCTTACACGTAGGAGTCACTGGATGTGACTTTGGTATTGCATTTTTAATTCAGTGATTCAGTGGGAGATTTAGTTTTTAACTGCAGGCTGCATTGCCAAAAATAAAATTTGAATTTACAAGTTGGAGCAGTATCTTTTCCCTGTGTGTCACTTGGAAATTCTAAAACAGAAAGTTTTTTTTCTAGTTCCTGAAAACTGCTGCCTAAAAAAAAGGGGGGTGGGGGTGGGAAGAGCTGCGTGAAGATTTAATTTTCTCTTGACCTGAAGTTTATGTAGAAACTGAATTTTATTGTCAAATGAATATCATTCTATAGTAAGTTAAAGTTAGTAAAGTGAAAAACATAACTCCATGTTTCACAAAAGACAAAATTGATACGTATTCATTCATTGAATCACCTAGTGAACATTCAAAGAGCTCTTAATAAGAAGTTGAAAAGAAAAGCTGATTTTATTCACAAAGCAAAACAGAATTGAAATATTTCACAGAAAATTCTAACTCTTTGCATATATACCTATTTCAAGAGATATTATTATCCAATACCTAATTAGTAGCCTTCTTGATTAAAAAGTGGAGAGCTAAACTAAACCTCTGCTATGAGATGGACTGTATTTTGCAATATGTGTACTATGCCAAGCTTTAATCCAGTCCTCTACTCCAACAGGTCACAGTCAGTTGTTGGGGGTGGGGTGAGTGTGAGACAAAATTTCAAAGTACATTTTGAATAGATTTATTTCTTGACAAAGAATAATTACAATAATGTACTCTGAAACCATTAATGAAATATATTTGTAAAATTTATTTGAGATATATTAGACTATGCATATGCATAGCAAAAAGCATTTCAGTTTTTAATTATATGATCAGGTTTTCCTGTTCTCTAATTTTTCCCTTAATTAATTCAATACATATTTATTGCTTATATTATACATAAATCATACAGTGCTGGAATGTCATAGGGGAAGCAAGAACAATCACTTTTTTTTCCTATAGAAAAGCTTGCAATCTAATAGACTTTGTGTGACCACAGCCCAAGAAAACATTATTGTTCGAGAAAATAAAAGCAGAGTCTGGAGTTTTGAGCGTTACATGATACCTTTTTAACAGATATGATTTTCACATTTTCTTGCTTATTGGAAAGAAAGATCAAAAGATTGATTATTTAGGAAGGAGTCATAGTGCAGCAGCAATTTTTATGAGAGTTGCTATCGCTGAATAAATGGTTGTATCTTGTTGACTTTAGAAACTGCTTGTAGTGGAAGAAGCACAGGTTTTGAAGTCCTGCTGATCCTGTATTATTCCTGGTGCTTGGAGCGGTGAGGGAAGTGGTGTGTTGGGGACAGTAGTGGATAGGCCTTGGACAAGTCACTTTACCTAACCTGACAAAAATTGGGGTAATTACAAGTACCTTCCTTAGAGGACAGAAGAAATTAGATAAATATAATGCACTTATAATAGTTTTCATGGTTGGTCCTCAAGAAATTTCTAGTAGCAAGCCAGGGTCCCATGGCCTGTGACCTGAATATTTTATTCGGCTTTCACAATGTCCCTAACACAGACACAGACACAGACACACACACACACACAAATGTGATGCATCCAGACTATATAGGCAGGCAGAGTAGTGCAGGCTCTTTGTTCAGATCCCGTTAATTTTATCACTTCCTACTATGCATTTGGCACTTCCCACATTTATATTGCTTGCCTGGCTCTGAAAGCATTTGTGTTTGCATCCTCCCTTCAGAGGTGAATGATGAGAGACATTCTTCTCCTAAAATGTAACTACACAGAAATTATAGACCTGATGAGAACAGTTGTATTTTACAAGAATTCCTTGTGAAAACAGAACACTTTACCTATTAGAGAGGATTCCTAATAAAAGAACTTCTGGCATCAGATGATTGATATTTCCCATCTGATTTAGCTGGTTGTCACCTACACCAAAGATTATGAGAATCAAAGGGTCATTTTAACATAGACAACAAGAAAGGAGAAGGTGGAGACACTGGGCTCTACCTGCAAATGACACTGGATTAAACAAGCATTAATGGAATAGGTGAGTGTTAAGTAAAAGAAAAACAGCTAAACCTCTAGGACTAAGAATGAAGAAATAGAAAATGAGCAAAAGCTCAAGAAATGGTCCTGGTGGTTTACTAGCCAAAAATTCTAGTTTTCCTTAACAGTGATACAGAAGAGAGATTAAACTTCATCTACTTTATAATTTCTCTGAGTTTCGTTTGTGGGAGGAGTGAAGATGAGAGATACTTCCATGACCTGTTAATTCACATAAAGGTGTAGATCTAGAGCACACTACCATTATCTGTGCAGCCATAGAACATTATGCATCATCTATCTCATTCTGAGATAGCAGGCTTTGTTTGGGTACATGTTCTCATTTCATCCAAGCCCATAAATATCCATTCTTTCAACAAAGGGTTTTTGAGTACCTATTATATGCTCAATAGTTGTGCTGGGGATCAAAACAGAGCAATGAACAAAATGAGACAAAACAAAATATCTCAGCTCTTATGACTTTTTATGCACAGTGGAGAGGGAGGTATACAACTAAAAAGTATGTCAGTAAAGTACATATTGTGTCAGATGGTTGCAATTACTGTGAGATTAAAAAAAAAAGAAGGAAGAGGGAGAGTGCCTGTGTGTAAATGCCATGGTTAGGGAACACGGAGCAAGCAACATTTGAGTAAAAGTCAGAAGAAAAAGAAAATGCAACAAAATAGGTCTGGCTTAAGAGGCCACAGTAAGTGAACAGAGTGGGCTAAAACGAAAGAGTAGCAGATGAGCACAGAGAGGCCAGAGGGTGGCAGTGGGGATCATACGTGGCTGTAGACTACGGCAAGGAATTTGATTTTACCGTGACTAGAACAGGTCGCCACTGAAGAGTTTTAAGGAGAAAGTGACTTGAGCTGACTTACACTGTAACAGCTTACTCAGACATCTGCGTTGAATACAGACTGTTATAATAATCCTACGAGAGATGATAGTTGTGTAGAATACGGAAGAGCCATAAAGATTGTGAGAAGAGGTCATATGATGGATATATTTTGAAGTTGGAAGTAACAGATTTATGGATGAATCAAATGCAGTGTGTGTAAAAGAGAGGCACCAAGGACAGTCCCAAGGTTTTTGGTCTGAGTGCCAATAATGAGTCACCATCACCTGGGGTATGTAAGACTGTGAGTTAAGTCTGGCTTTTGGGGGAATATCAGGAAATTAGTCTTGAGGATGTTAATTTGAGATACCTATTAGAGATGTAGATACAGGCATGTGGAAATCAGAAGAGAAGGATAAGCTGGATACAGAAACTGGGAATCATAAACATGGAATGGCATGACTTTACCAGTGGAGTTAATGTAGATAGAGGAGGGAAGGCATTCCAAAGTTGAGGAGGGGAAGAAAAGCCAGTGAAGGAGCCTGACATGATGGTAGCAAGCAAAAACCGAGGAACATTAGGAGAGTGTATTTATTGTGCTATTAGCCAAGTAAAGAAGTACACCCGGGGTGGTAATTAGATCAAAGGGCTTCAAAGGGCTGAGAAATAACACTTGGGGTTTAGCAACTTGGAGGTCACTAATGCCTTGGATAAGAACAGTTTTGATGGGATTGTGGAGGCAAAAGTATGATAAAATGGGCTCAGGGGAGAATATGAAGAATTGGATACATAGAGTCAAATCCAATAACTAGTTAATGATGTACACAAGATAAAAAAATATATGATTTAAAAGAACATGTAAAAATGAAACAGGTGAAAAGTCACAAAATATAATTTTCATAAATATAGGTAATTTTCTTTTTAATTAAATAGAGTGATAAAGTGAAAAGACTTGAAACTTTTCACCTTAGCTGGTAAGATGATTCAGAAATGTTATGAATAAAACATCTCCTTGTAACTTTTGTAATAACTTCTAAGTACCCTGTTTTCAAACAGGTGAAGTGATGCTAAGTTTAGCAAGAACTGAATATATAAAGGTTCCCACTTTCACAGATATACATTCACATTCATAAACACAAAATCAAAATAAGAGGGAAAAATTTTAAGTTATGTCTTTGAGTATTCCCATATGCTAAGAGTATAGCAATTCATTATTCATACCCAAATAATTTAAGGTTATTTAAAATTAACAGTTTAAAAATGTTAGAGATTCATTAAAAACTGTAGATTTTATTACATCTAAGACTTGGTACCAACATTTTCTATGCATACATATTTAAAGAGGTGATAAAGGAAACTATTTCTGCCTTAGCGAACAAGTTTCATGACTAATATAATGCATCCCAAATATGATCTTTTGAGAAAATGTGAAGAGTGTGTGCCATTAGGGGCAATTATAGCAAAAGCATCTCAGAGGCAGAATTCAGGAAGCAAAGACTGAAAGTGTTACGAATCACTTACCTCCCTAATGTCCCTTTGATACTTAGTGTTCATTTCTTCGGTTTTAATGAGATCCTTCCTTGCTGTCTCTGCTTCCTGCTCCACCTCTCCCACGCGGGAAGAAAGGGCTGCTAAACGTTCTTTCATCTGGGCCATTTCGTAGTTTTGTTTTTCAAGCAATTCTTGTAGCTCAACTATTTGACTTGTATCATCAGTGGAGTCTATAGAACCATTGGACAAACGCTGCAGGAAAAGAAAAAGAAATGGCACTTAGAACTTTCTTCATCTTTACAATTCATGAACTTAAAGAAATGAGACAGAAAAAGATTTCACACTGAGAAATGAAACTTCTAAGAGAACTCGCCTTGGAGGAAAACTAAGTTTCTGAGAAAACTACTAATTGATATTAAAACATATAGGTAGATCCGTAATTTTCAAATAGGCTAATAGATGCATTTGAACTGGAAGCTACTGTATGTACATTATACACAGTTTAGCAGAAAACATGGGTGTATCCTAAACATTCAATAAGTGGCAACTATTTTTATCAATTATATATACAATTTATTATAAAGAAATAATACTATATTTATGTAATACAGCATATTATTACTAAATAAGGGCCCAGAAACTATACAGTATTTTCGATTTTTGTTCAAGATCCTTTGTGTATTTGCAAGTCTCATTTTCAATGATACTCAGCAAAAGATCTTACACAACACTTTCCTTTTAAAGAAGGTTATTCTTGCTGTGAATCTGACCCAGGTGAAACAAAGGTATAGCATAGAAAAGTCTCGACTTCTATATTGCTATCAACATAAAAGTCATGAGTGCACACAATCCACAGGAGGGAGGCTAAAAGAGTTTAAATAAACAAAGGTATAGCATAGAAAAGTCTCGACTTCTATATTGCTATCAACATAAAAGTCATGAGTGCACACAATCCACAGGAGGGAGGCTAAAAGAGTTTAAATAATTTGAGGTTGATTTTTCTCTTTGAAAGGGCTGCCTGGAAACCAGAGTGACCCATGTCTTCAGAAGGATGCCCTACAGCCTAGGTGAACTGGAGAAGTTTTGCAGTGAAGACAGTGCAGCAACTAGGGAGAAACAGATGCTAAGAGAAAAAGATCACAATCAGGTAGAAACAGGAAACTATGGAGAAAAAGCAAAAAACAAAAGTACAGTCAATTTTATTAGGATGCTTGTTTGGAAAACGTGAATTTGAAACATGATTGATACATTAAGAAATAATTTGAACATAATTTAACTTTTGTGTTTTCTTGTGTATGATTTCATTCCTGAGAAACAGCAGCTGAACACAGAAAACTGGACCTAGCTGAATCAAGCAATGTAGGAATATACAAAATGCACATATGCACACTTCTCAAACATCTAATGCCAGTTTCACATTTCATGGAGAGCTCTGAGTCAACTCACCCATTTCTGTGTTGTACCACCTGCCTGATTTCAGATACTCCTCTTTCCACCACTCCACAATAACTCACAGCTATAATCCTTCTGACACCCACTCCCATAAGCCAAGTCCAGATCTTTTTAAAGGTAAAGAGTTGATTTTATATTAGCATTTATGTAATTCTTAACCATTCAACATGTGTAAAACTGTGCAATCATTTTATTAGTTTTCTATCTTTTTAAAAAAATTGAAGTATAGTCAGTTACAATGTGTCAATTCATGCTGTACAGCACAATGTCCCAGTCATACATATACATACATATATTTTCATTTTTTATGAAAGGTTATTAAAATATATTGAATATAGTTATCTGTGATATACAGAAGAAATTTTTTTATCTATTGTTACATATTTGCTAAAATGTGCAAATCTCTTACTCCCAAATTTATCCCTTCCCACTCCCCTTCTCCTGGTAATCATAAGATTGTTTACTATGTCAGCACTATATACAATAGCCAAGACACAGAAACAACCTAAATGTCCACTGACAGATGACTGCATAAAGAAGTTGTGGTATATTTATACAATGGAACACTATTCAGCTGTAAAAAGGAATAAAATAATGCCATTTGCAGCAACATGGATGGACCTAGAGATCGTCATTCTAAGTGAAGTAAGCCAGAAAAAGAAAGAAAAATATTATATGATATCACTCATATGTGGAATTTTAGAAAACAAAAAAAAGGAGGACACTAATAACTCATGTACAAAATAGAAACAGACCCTCAGACATATCTCTTTTTTAAGTAAGTAATAAAGTTTGTAGTGTTGTGCCTCAACACCTTTCCCCCCATAAGCTCTGTGTTTTTTATTATGCGGTTTTGCATAACTCAGTATTTTTAGGAACACAAATGCCATATTAGACAGAACTGACTGTAGAAGAAAAGGGGGAGAATAGAAAGCACCACAAAAGCAGTGAGAAAGATAAAACAGAGAGAATGGGAACGCAAACTAATGGCAAGGGGTGTTGATAAATCCAGTCACCTAACACGTGGAGAAACAACTGGGCAAATCAAAATTACGTAAGAGTCAATCTTGAGATAGTATCTTGAGATATCAGTTGGATCTGCAGACCTAATACTTTGAAGATACTACTGAATTTTTGTATTGCAAGTGATAAGCTTCTAATATAGTAAAAGAAGTATTACAAATAGGTGTGAATGTTGGAGAGGATCCAGAGATTGGTTGATCAGATCCTCCTTCAGTGTCTTGATTCCTCTAGCTGCTGGGATGGCCGCTTGCTGAACGATCAGAGCTGAGAACTGGCCTGGGAATCACTCTTAGTGGAAGAGAACTGCCCTTGCAAAGTTACTCCTCTCCGCTGAGACGAGCAATACCACATACAACTCAGAGCAGTATTATTGTGAAGCTAATAAGGAAACAACATTTTGGACAGTTTTTGTGGACATAAATCTCAAAAACATTGATAGTGATCTTTATATACGACACAATTATCTGTACATTGAATTGAGAAAAGCCAGTTTATATTCATTAGACAGCAACTGAGAACTGGTTTAGGGAGAAAGGCTAGAGCCAACTGCCAATCAATTATGTCCAAGTTTGGGATAACTGAAGAATGATATTACAGGGTTTCTGTAATAATAGCAAATACCTTCTAACTCTGTATACCACTCATGTGTAACAAAGGAAGCGTAAGCTTTAATAGAGCTTCTACCTCCTCACATTGAGAATTTCCTCTAGTCAACTAAAAATGGCAAAGTTTTAGAAACTACAAAAATCATTAGAAAATAAATGCTTTGAAAAATGTTTTATGTGATTGAAAAATTACATGTAACATTTGAATCCTTAAGAACTTTGGAGAAACTTAAACTTAGGGAATTTCCATGAAGCTGATTTGAATAAAAATGCAGAATTTTGAAGTTCCAACTCAGTCCCTTTACCATATTACTTTTAATTGGAACATATAAATCAATAAGATAAAATAACATATGCTGTATGATATAGACAAGTACTAAGAATGTAGTGTGTGTGTAGATATGTGAATATACATACATATGTATACATACACATACATAAATTCTACAAATATTTGTTCAGTGCAACTGAATGATGTTCATTTTCTAATTAGAAAAATGATTGTTCTAATTTTGTGCACCTGAGGTCCATTAAAATCTAGTCTAAAAATTGCATATTTTTAATGGGCTCAAGGTAAGAGAAATTTAAGTAAATATAAACAGTAATGAGACAACTAAAATAGAACACTTTCAGAATGTTAACCTCTTCAATACCGTTACATAATTGATGTGTACTATACTGCATAATCTTTATGCTACTTTGGAATTTAGGACTATTCATGGAAAATTACGAACTCTCATTTTTTTCTGAAGTATATATTAATATTTTATGTTTAAAAATGTGTAATATTTCATCCACTTAAATCACTGTAAATACATTTTGTGGTGAGCTTATTATGTTTTCATAATTTCAGAGTAGAATAGTCATATTAAACTTGTGATCTATATCTCAAAAAAAGAATATATAACTTTTGTTCCAAATCATTAGTATTCTGATATGTCTTTAAAATAAATTATGGCATTTTAATCTAACTGGTAAATGAATGAATTAAAGGAAAACCCAATGCTTATTTTAAATAGCTTTATCGAGATCTAATTTACATGCCATAAAGTTCACCCATTTAAAGTGTGAATGTCAACGGTGTTTAGTAAAGAGCTGTGTAACTATCAACATAATCTAACTTGAGAAAATCCTTACCATCCTTAATAAAAACCTCATGCCCATTAACAATTACCTACAGCAGACCCCCAACCCCTAGACTTAGGCAACCACAAATCTACTTTCCTTCAGTATAGATTTGCATATCATGTACCTTTCACAAAAATGAAATCACAGAATAGTCTTTTGCGACTGGCTTTATTCACTGAACATTTTTGTTTTTGAGAGTCATTCATGTTGTAGCATGTTACCAGTATTTCATATCTTGTTACTGCTGAATAATATTTTATCATGTGGATATACTACATTTTATTTACATATTCACCAGTTAGTAGACATTTAGATTGTTTCCACCTTCTGAATACTATGAATAATGCTCCTCTGAACATTTGTGTACAAGTCTTTGTGTGGACATATGCTTTCAGTTCTTGTGGGTAGATTCTTGGGAGCAGGATTTCTGGATCATATAATTCTATGTTTAATATTTTGAAGAAATATTTCCCAAAGTGGTTACACCATTTTACAGTCCCACCAGTCATCATGACAGTTCCAATTTCCCATATCCTCACCAATACTTGTTACTATCTTTACTCATTATAGTTATTCTTATAGGTATGAAATAGTATCTCCTTGTGGTTTTGATTTGCAGTTCCTAGAGACTAACAACGTTGAGCATCTTTTCATGTTCCTGTTAGCTATTTGTGTATCTCCTCTTGCAAAATGTCCGAAGTATTTTCCCATTTACTAACTGAGTTGTTTGTCTTTTATTACTGAGTTATGAGAATTCCATATATATATGATACAAGTACTTTGTCAGCTATACACTTAAGAATAATTCTTCCCAGTTTGTCAGTTATCTTTTTACTTTCTTGATGGTGCTGTTTCAAATGTAAGTGTTTTTAATTTTAATGAAGTCCAATGTATCATTTTTTCCTTTATGTGCTTTTAGTATTGTACCAAGAAATTATTTTCCTAAGACAAAAGACTTTCATTTTTTTCTTTTAAATTGTAGCTGGATACACTTAAATTGTTAGTTTTCAAATGTAATAAAGGCTCAGATGGTAAAATTTTTTA